GAGAGAGAGAGAGAGAGAGAGAGAGAGAGAGAGAGAGAGAGAGAGAGAGAGAGAGAGAGAGAGCTGTGTACCATTCTCCCATAAGGACTAGTGCTTATGAAAGCCTCTACTCTGCTGAGATTCACTCACTCTATTTTCTTCTCGTCTTTCAGGGTCATATCCAGTGGTTGGAGGCGGCGTCTGGGGTCCAGATCCAGATGAGAATAGCTCTGTCAATGGTGAAGAGGAGGAGGACAACATGGATGCTGACGTCTTACGGGGGACAAAGCCTGGGAGCTGTTGGCACTTGCTGCACCAATTGATGACAAGATGGAAGGAAAGAGAAGTGAAACTTCAGGAATTTGAGGACGATATGCATCAACTAAGGGATCAGGTACTCAGCAGCAATACCCACTGTTCACAAGAGGGGCAAGTTTGCAAAACCATGAGTGAGATTAAGAGCGGTGGGACTGGAATGAGGAGCTTCGCCAACCACCTCGGAGATGGTCACGATGATGTCACGTTCCAATCAGGAGAGGAAACCAATCGGAGCATACGAGAAGATGCTGCCACTCGCGACAATGCGCGAGAACAAAGCCGGAGCGACGACAGCAGCGGGGCTGCCACCACGACGGTCACCAATCACCTTGGAGATGGTGATGATGTCGTCAGATCAGCGAAGGAAACCAATTGGACTGCACAAGAACATACCGCCATTCGCGATGATGCGAGAGAGCAGGGGGAACACGCTTACGGTGATCGAAACTATTGGAACCATTGTGTTGACGACAAGCGCACCGTTGACGGTTCCGATGGCTCGAAGACTCCAGGCATGTGCGTCCCGTGCGATCCTATGGATACCTTGAAGGAGGAGATTGGCTGTGGCCTCTCCTCTCACCCTTCTAGCAAGGTTGGCTCTTCACGAATTCCTTCCGCCAGCCTTCAAGAATCTCAACACATGACACAACCTGACTTTCCGGCCAATCCACAGAGGAAGGGTCATGATATCTGTGTGGTTGACCAGAGTGGAGGCCACCTTTGTTCTGTTGACCCCCCTTGCTCTCCATCTGACCCACAAGAGCCCATAAAGGGGGTCTTGCCCATAAAGGGGGTCATTTTGGAGGGGCCTGATTGTCCTCGACTTCTGTCGGCAGCTTCGGCCACGGGAATTCCTTACACGACCGAGGTGAGAGAAAGGACAGAAGTTTCTTCTTCGCTGGATAACATCGGTAAGCGCTACTGCGAGTTTAACGTAGCGAGATCACCGGATGACAAGGACAATTTTTCTGGGGAAAGACGAACAGCCCGAGCAGAGCGAGACGTGTTCCTAGAGGACTATTATGCTGCCGAGGCGGAGAGAGAAGCGAAACGGGAGATGGACAGAAAAAGAAGAGAAGAAGAAACCCTGCAGCATATCGCTGATGCCGCTGCCAGAGATAAAAAACTTGAGGTACCACTTGCCTTTTTTTTTTCTTTTTGTTCTTTTTTTTCAAACAACGGTCTATTTCTTTTTCTGTTTCCCAAACAACGATCTATTTCTTTTTCTGTTTCCCCCTCCCCCCCTTCCAAGAACAGTAACGCCGTCAAGAGGCAATTGAAAGACCCCTATGCAAGGAAAATGAGCGATAGCGAACTTCAGAAATCAAACAGCATCATACACATGTGACCAGAGAGTCGTGACCTCGAACCAATAGCAGAATTGCATCACGAGTTTCACGAAATAAAATAATTGACAATGCTGGAATAGTCTCATCATCATCAACAAAGAACCAATGTCGATATCCTATCTGGCGCTCGGCGCCCAGACTACAGATGGCAGATCCTATGTTACATGCTGTGCCTGCAACAGGCTGCACGGGCCATTTGCAGGCCCGTGACGTTTTCAGGCCAAAAGCCTGAAAACAAGGGCCTACAGGCCCTGTGTCGTTTCCGCCTAAATCAGGGCCTTTTCGGCCCTGAGTCTTTTCAGCCTGAAACTGATGGCCATTTTCAGGTCCTCATCAGATCGACCCACCCTGAAACTCAGGCACCAAACCAGGGTTTTAGCACAGGCCATTTTAGGCCTGTTTTCAAAACAACCCTTGGTTGAGCTTCAACGCCAGGGTCTGGCACGTTTTGGCATTGGCAAGAGCAGCCTCCTGGACGGGCCCACACTATAAAGGACTGGCCCGCCCTGCAGGCTGCAGGTAGTTCCTAGGTACTTCGCAGGCACTTCACGTGCAGTTCAGGAGGCAGGAGGTAGTCTTCAGGATTCGGCAGCAGCACTCTGGAGGAGCGCTGCAGGAGTAGTAGTAGCGCTAGCAGTAGTCTTCAGCGCTGGGCGCTAGTAGCGCTAGCAGTAGTCTTCAACGCTGGGCGCTAGTAGCGTTAGCAGTCTTCAGCGCTGGGCGCTCTTAGGAGCTAGAGTAGTACTAGAGAGAGAGAGATTGGGCGGAGGCCAGGGATACTTACCTGCAGCGCCAGAGCTCCAGCTTCGCCTTTGAGGTACCTGCAGCACAGCACCATCTTCACAGGTTAGTACCTGGCACATGGGAGAGAGAGAGTTCTTCGTCTTCCTCTTCTCAGTCCACCATCTCCCTCTCACCCTCTCGCTACCTGGCTTTACTGCATCAGCAGACTATGAGAGAGCGGGCTTGGTGACATTGGGATCCAGACTTGACATTGGGCTTCAGACATTTTGACGAGGGATTATTTGGGACTTGTAACAAAGACTCGGTGTTGATGACATTCCCATCTCTCCCCCTCTTCTTCGTCTGTTCCCCTCTTCTTCGTCTGTGCATGATCTGGACCTGGCGCATTCTTCCTGTGTGTAGCGTCAGGCTTCACACCTTGTGATGAGGATGATGTATGTTTGGTCTGCGTTGCAAAATTGATTGGGCTAGTCCTTGGTATTCTAGCATTCTGCTGCACTGTCTTGCACTACGTGATAGAGGTCAGTCCCGGTCAGGTCAGGACGTGTATCTAAGTCTTCCCCTGCGCTATAAAGCACCATTTTTGTATGTACCAGGATGTACACTGCTTGTTGAGATTTCACTTGCACTGCATTGTCCATTCAGTCCTTTTTATCACATTGCGGATCCTCGGTTATATATGTACGTCGCCCAACTGGGCATGTAACATTTGGTATCGGAACACCGCACGTGAATCATGGCAACCTGATCTGACACATGTGGGGGGACTAAGTAGCTGATTAGTCTTGATTGATTGATTACAGCACACTAGCTAGCCCCCAAAATCACGATTTTGACCTCACTGCCGAAAATCGATTTTTTTTTCTTTTCTTGGATTTTGTTTTCTCGCTATTTCTGTGTGGAAAATCGCAATAGCGCAACATCTGAAATTTACGTTTTCGTTTTTCTTCTGAAAATTCGAAATTTCGTTGTTGGAAATCTGGAATATCTTTTTTTCGAAAATTTCGATTTCCTTTTGCAATTTCCCGTTATTCGGAAATCCGGAATATTTTATTTTCCGAAATTCGTTTTTCGAGATGTGAAAACGGTACGGGAAATCCCTCTTGCAGTTGCCATTTTCCTAACTGCGCGTACTCTCATTTGAGTAATTCCGAATATTTTTATTTTCTTTCGGAATTCTCATCGGATAATCAAGCAGTCTGAAAGTTAACGAATTTTTTTTCTCATTCGTAATTTCGCACTTCAGGGGGATTTAGGAGGCCTACCGAACTTGCAAACGGGTATTTTTTTCTTTTTCTCGAAATTTTTGCAAAGTTCAAACTTTTCTTTTTTTAATTAGTGGCTCCTTATCTGGGCGATTTATCCCACCCACCCCTCCCCACCTATGTTGTTGCCCCCTCTAGTCTTATCTTCTCTATCTGTCTACGGGTACTCCCTGTGGCAGCATTGGTGAGTTGCCACGTCAACAGACCACGTCAGCAGACCACGTCAGCAGGCCACGTCAGCAGGACACAGCAGGGAGTTCCACATCAGCAGTCCTCCGGCCTGATCTATGCTCACGCGCTTACAAACAGCCGGCATGGATCAGAAGCCCGGGGAAACGAACGAGGCCTATCAGGCCCGGATGCTGCTTCTGATTACCGAAGCCAAGCAACGGTCGGATGCAGTAGCAGCCGCAGCAAAGAAGAAGGCAGAGGACGCCGAAAAGGCACGTCTGTTGGCAATTGAACAGCAGCGCCAGCAAGACGAGGCAGCAGCAAAGACTGCTGATGAAGAACGACTTCAACGACGCAAGAAGATATTCGGCGGAGAGTGAGCCTTGCTCAAAATGGCAGCGGACTGGCGGGCCGAGGCCGAGAATGGGAAGATGGAACAGAGCGAAAACAAGATCGCTCTACTCCTCTCCCATCTCACGGACCTCCTGGCCACGTGCATCGCACAGCAGGAGGACATTGACAACCTCGACGACGCGGCTCAGACGCACAATCAGGTGTTTGACCAATTCAACAGCCGCCTCCAGCAGCTGGAACAAACCGTCGCCACCCCCGTTGCCAGCTCTTCCAACACCTCCGATCGCCTCGAGGCATTGGAGATTGACGTCGGATCCCTCAAGGACGACTCCAAGGTTCGATGATCAGGAGATCTTTTGCGACTCGACAAAGACGGACCCAATTCCATGGTTCTGCAAGTTCGAGCTCAAGTTGCAGCTCCACCTCGTCAGCGAGCACAAGCATCACGCGTACTTATACTCCCGCTCGAGGGGCGCGTGCCAAGCGTGGTTGGACAATCTGTTGTCCAAGTACGGAGTGGTAGCTGCCGACTTGCATACCAAGATCAGCTGGGATGATCTAAAGGCAGCGTGGCATAAGCAGTTTCAAGTAGAGCCACTGGAGATCAAGGCAATGGACAAGTTGATGGTCTTCGAACAAGGCACACTGCCGAGTGTTGACTGGATTGCCGAGTACCAACGCTTGACATCCGTCCCAGACATTCAAATGGGCTTCAAGGCCATCAAAAACTACTTCATCTCGAGGTCGTATCCGGCGTTGGGCAATGCCTTGACTCACGTCGAGGACACCCTGACGACACCGGCGGAGCTCTTCGACAAGGCCGCGCAGATTATTGTCACGAACAAGGAGGCTAAGAACCTCCACCGTTCGTCTGCGACAGGCCCGAGCAGAGATCAGCATCGGTCGAAAGTGGCCGTGGTCGTGGCGGCAATGCCAATCGACCAAACTAGCGAGGCCATGTCTGCCAATGAAGGGGACAAGCTCGCAGCCGCCCAGGATGGTGGCCGCCGCGACAAAGGCCGAGGATGCGGCAAGCCGAAGACAAACATTGCATCTAGCCGCAGGTCTGACGCAGCAGCTCCAGCCCCATGGGCCCACTACGGTCTCTCCGAACAGGCGTACAAGGCACACACAAGATTCCACTATTGTCTGTGGTGCAACGACGATCTCCAGGAGACAGTGGGCTGCCCGTCGAAAGGCAAGGGCAAATCGGGAAACTGAGCACTGCCGGGAGTGAGTCGACGACACTCTCGACACCTTCGGAACTGGTCGCTTCGCGGGTGATCGCCCTTTGTTCCGAGGCACACGCGGAAGTCGATTTTCCTCCTCTTCTATATTCTTATGAGGACTATGCTGCCCGGCTCGTTCCTACGCTGGGTATTCATGCTCAAGGACAAGACGTGTGTGCGGCATCTTCTCCGTTCGGCAGCGGTGACTTATCGTCTTCAGGTGGTTCTTCACGAGATTCGGCGCGCGAGTTCAACATAGAGGTATTGGACCCGCTCACGTCCGAGCATTGCGCATGGCTTCCTCTCTCGACCAGGGGTCGCTTGCCGGGACCGCAATGCGCAACATTATGCGCTCATCTTCACACGTACTTATCCTTCTATGCACCACCAACTTCGCCGACGGATGACGAAGTCGCGGTGGGGGACATCCTTGCGTATGTTACCAAGGTGGCCCGCGAGTTTCACAATCAGCGGTACGACGACAACAACACACCGCTCCTCTATGTCCGCATCCAAGTTGGGCAAGCGTCCTGCAGCGCTTTGCTGGATAGCGGCGCGGCTCGCAATTTTATGAGCCAAGCCTTCATGCAAAGGGCTGGCCTTGGCGCACAAGTTCAGAGGAAGGCAAAGCCGACGACGATAAAGTTGGCGGACGGAAGGACGCAGCAACTTATCGACCGCTACATCGAGGCCATACCGGTGTATTTCGCACCTCAATCACGCGAACCGGTGACGTTCGACATTTTGGACACGGACTTCGACATTATTTTGGGAATGCCTTGGCTTGCAACTGCAGATTACACGGTCAACTTCCACCGGCGGACTCTTACCGTTCGGGACGCCTTCGGCGCCGAAGTGCCGTGTACTATTCCTCTTCCGCACACTTCGATTCGGTGCCAAGTGGTGACGGCCAAGTCATTCCGGGCTACTTGTGCTTACGAGCAGCCCGACGAAATCGGCCTATGCTTCCTACGGACCGTCGCGGTAGCCGACTTTTCACCAACGGACTTGTCTTCGGACTCCCGTGTGGTGCGGTTGCTTGACGAGTTCGCCGACATCTTCGAGTCACCTACCGGTAAGGTGCCGGATCGGCTGATCTCTCACAAGATCATTCTTGAGGCTGGTGTCGTGCCGCCGAAAGGTTGCATTTATCGCATGAGCGAGGAGGAGCTTACGGTCCTCCGTGCGCAACTCGATGACTTGTTGGACAAGGGCTGGATCCACCCTAGTAGCTCTTCGTACAGAGCGCCAGTTCTCTTCGTACGGAAGAAGAACAAAGATCTACGATTGTGCATCGACTACCGCAAGCTCAACGCGCAAACCGTCAAGAATGTGGGGCCTCTTCCTCGCATCGACGATCTTCTTGAGCGATTGGGCTGCGCGAAGTATTTTTCTAAGTTGGATTTGAAGTAGGGCATCATCAAATCTCGATCCGACCAAACGATCACTACAAATCCGCGTTTAAGATGCGGTATGGGCATTTTGAGTGGGTGGTCATGCCTTTTGGCCTCACCAACGCCCCGACGACCTTTCAAGCGGCAATGACCAACGAGTTTCGTGCGATGTTGGACCGGTTCGTGCTGGTCTACTTAGACGACATCCTCGTCTATAGCCGGACATTGGAGGATCATCTTGGGCACCTTCGACGAGTGTTGGAGACGCTCCGCCGCGCCAAGTACAAGGCCAACCGCGACAAGTGCGAATTTGTCCGACAAAGCTGGAATACTTGGGCCATTTTGTCACACCGGAGGGCATCAGTCCGCTGTCGGACAAGATTCAAGCCATCCAAGAGTGGCCGGAACCACGGAACGTCACGGATGTTCGTTCGTTCCTTGGCCTTGCCGGCTACTACCAGCGCTTCATCAAGGGATACTCGAAGATCGCAGCCCACTTGACCAAACTTCAATGCGAGGATCGACCGTTTGCCTTTGGAGAGGATGCGCGGAAATCATTCTTGGCTCTCAAAGCCGCGCTATTATCTGCGGAGGTCTTGCGGATATACGACCCGCTATTGCCAACGCGCGTCACTACGGATGCGTCCGGCTATGGCATTGGTGCCGTCCTCGAGCAACACGATGGCATGGGCTGACACCCGGTCGAGTACTTCAGCAAGAAAGTGCCCGTCATGCACTCCATTGATAATGCATCGAAGAAGGAGCTCCTCGCCTTCGTCCACGCGCTCAAGCGGTCCCGACAGTTCCTCCTTGGTCGAAGTCAATTCCGATGGGTGACGGACAACAATCCGTTGGTCTTCTACAAGACCCAAGACACCGTCAATAGCACCATCGCCCGTTGGATGGCTTTCATCGATCAATTTGACTTCTTTCCCGATCACGTTCCGGGGAAGTCTAACCGTTTTGCGGATGCTCTTTCACGGCATCCGGATCATTGTACCGCAGTCTACTCGACCATTGAGATCGGCGACGACCTGCAGGACAGCTTCATCCGCGGCTATCAAGCCGACCCCGAGTTTCGCGACAAGTACGCGAATTGCTCCTCTCCTAATGTGGCGCCTTCTCACTACCGGATCCAAGAGGGGTACTTGCTTATCCACACACGGGGGAAGGACCTTCTTTGTGTACCGAGTGACCCTCACTTGCGTACACGGCTTCTTGGCAAGTTCCACGATGCTCCCGCCACCGGACACTTTGGAGTCAATCGCACGATTGGCCGACTTCGCGAGCAATTTTGGTGGCCTGGCCTTCTCGGTGACGTCACACGCTATTGCGAGTCATGCGAGGTTTGCCAACGTTGCAAATCCGCAACCATCATCCGTACGGCGAGTTGCGACCGTTACCGGTCCCCTTGCGCCGAAGGGAAGCGATTGCCATGGACATTACCGGGCCATTCCCCAAGCACAAGACCGGTATGGATGGGATTCTCATGGTGGTCGACTGACTCACCAAGTTCACCATGTTTTTGCCTTGCCGCTATCATGCCACGGCACCGGAGTTGGCCGAGGTTCTTTACGGCGGTTGGATTCGAACCAAGGGTTATCCCAAGGAAATCGTCTGCGACCGCGACACTCGGTTCATGTCCGATTTTTGGTTGGCGCTCATCAAACGATGGGGCTCATCTCTCAAGCCAAGTTCGGCTTGCCACCCCCAAACTGATGGCCAAACGGAAAAGGCGTATCAGAACGCACAGGTTCTCCTTCGCACTCTCATCCGTCCCGACCAAAAGGATTGGGTTGAGCAGCTGCCGGATGTCGAGTTGGCATACAACTCGTCCATCCACCCGGCTATCGAGATGTCGCCTTTCGAGTTCGAGGACGGCTCGCTGGTCACTTCGTTGTTGGACACAATCATTCCACGAACGGCCGAGAGCGACGACCATCTTCGTTTCTTGCGTCGGATGCAAGAGCTACTTGTCAAGGCACGCGACCAGATGGCTAAGATGCAACAACGCATGAGCCAACAGGTCAATTGCCAGCGTCTTCCTTGCCCATTCTGCGCTGGCGATCTCGTTTGGGTTTCCGCCGCGGAGTTCGGCCTTGAACAAGATCTCTCTCGCAAGCTCCTCCCGAAATGGATGGGACCCTGGCTGATCATGGTACCCGCTGGGGATGCACCAGAAGGACCTTCTTTCACCATTGAGGTGCCCGCCCACTTGCCCGTCTACCCGGTCTTTCATTGCTCCAAGTTGGCTCTTTACACGCCAGCAGAACACGACGATTTTCCCGGACGACAATCACAAGACCCACCCTCTATGGACGGTTTTCAAGAGATCGACGACATCATCTCCCAGCGACGCTACGGCAACAGGCCAATCGAGTACTCGGTACACTTTACGTACTGCACTCACAAAGCTGACCGTTGGTTGACCCGTACGGAACTCCAATCAACAGCTTCGGATATTCTCGCACGCTACGAACGCAAGATGCAAGGCAAGCCGGTATCTTCGGCTCCACGTCCCTTCAGATCGTCAGCTTCGCCCTCGACCCGGCTTGACTTCATAAGGAGGGGGGGGTGTTACATGCTGCGTCTACAACAGGCTGCACGGGCCATTTTCAGGCCTGTGACGTTTTCAGGCCAAAAGCCTGAAAACAAGGGCCTACAGGCCCTGTGTCGTGTCAGCCTGAAAGCCTGAAAACAAGGGCCTACAGTCTCTGTGTCGTTTCCGCCTAAATCAGGGCCTTTTCGGCCCTGAGTCTTTTCAGCCTGAAACTGAGGGCCATTTTCAGGTCCTCATCAGATCGACCCACCCAACTCAGGCACCAAACCAGGGTTTTAGCACAGGTCATTTTAGGCCTGTTTTCAAGACAACCCTTGGTTGAGCTTCAACGCCAGGGTCTGGCACGTTTTGGCATTGGCAAAAGCAGCCTCCTGGACGGGCCAGCACTATAAAGGACTGGCCCACCCTGAAGGCTGCAGGTAGTTCCTAGGTACTTCCTAGGCACTTCACGTGAAGTTCAGGAGGCAGGAGGTAGTCTTCAGGATTCGGCAGCAGCACTCTGGAGGAGCGCTGCAGGAGTAGTAGTAGCGCTAGAAGTAGTCTTCAGCGCTGAGCGCTAGTAGTGCTAGCAGTATTCTTCAGTGCTGGGCGCTAGTAGCGTTAGCAGTAGTCTTCAGCGCTGGGCGCTCTTAGGAGCTAGAGTAGTACTAGAGAGAGAGAGAGAGATTGGGCAGAGGCCAGGGCTACTTACCTGCAGCGCCATAGCTCCAGCTTCGCCTTCGAGGTACCTGCAGCACAGCGCAATCTTCACAGGTTAGTACCTGGCACATGGGATAGAGAGAGTTCTTCCTCTTCCTTTTTTCAGTCCACCATCTCCCTCTCACCCTCTCGCTATTTACTGCATCAGCAGATTATGAGAGAGCGGGCTTGGTGACATTCGGATATAGACTCGACATTGGGCTTAAGACATCTTGACAAGGGATTATTTCGGACGTGTAACAAAGACTTGGTGTTGATGACATTCCCATCTCTCCCCCTCTTCTTCGTCTGTTCCACTCCTCTTCGTCTGCGCATGATCTGGACCTGGCGCATTCTTCCTGTGTGTAGCGCCAGGCCCCTTCACACCTTGTGATGAGGATGATGTATGTTTGGTCCGCGTTGCAACATTGATTGGGCTAGTCCTTGGTATTCTAGCATTCTGCTGTGCTGTCTTGCACTATGTGATAGAGGTCAGTCCCGGTCAGGTCAGGACATGTATCTAAGTCTTCCCCTGTGCTATAAAGCACCATTTTTGTATGTATCAGGATGTACACTGCTTGTTGAGATTTCAGTTGCACTACATTGTCCATTTAGTCCTTTTTATCACATTGCAGTAACCCTGTTCAGCAGCAGACCGGGGCTCAGAACGTTGCCCCCGGTAAAGCACAGACTGTGCTGGGCTATGTGACCGAGACATGCCCMGCCTGAGTCTGTCGAGGAGGCTGTGTGACCGAACGCAGCGCAAAGGAAATTCAACAGTCAAAGTCAACTGTAGAGTCAAAGGTACCGCGCCCAGGCCTATGGTCGGATACATTCACTTGTTGTGTGCAGGTACCCAGACAGCATTCAGGGTGGGAGGAATACAGTTTCTGGCCAATCTGGGCCCTCCTTCACATCGAGATCTGGACGGTGCAGGACTTCAGCACCCAGGGTCCAGACCCCGCATCCACGCTATTTAAGAGTTGACTTCCTGGCTGGAGTACATTCAGTCTTGCGTGAATGCCGACTTCACGCGTAGACTTTGACGCTGTTGCTATGCTGCGACATTGCGGCATTGGCTTGACGCCGGCCCTATGCTGGCAGAGGAGAACGGCAAAGCGCTGCTGGCTGGCATGGTGCTGGCTGGCGATGGTCTTCTGGGCATGCTGACGTGGCAGCTGCCACGCGCCGATGCTGACGTGGCCGCTGCCACCTGTATATGATTGATGACGTGGTGGGCTGCGAGGTTGATGAGGCTGTTCTGATTCTTCGTCACTTCGGAAGGGGATCAAGACTGTGGTTATCAAGGATACGTACCTGGTTGATGACGATACTCTCCATTTGCTGATGTAGACAGATTGATGTGCCACGTGGCACCTTGAGGAAGAACTTCAGACATTGTATTCAGTCTATTGATTAATGAGGTGGCGAGGAGGAGGAGGAACCCGAAGTAGAAGTGGGTTGTTGTCTTCTTCCCTCTCCTTTGTCTATTCTCCCTCTCTCCTCTTTCGTCTGTGTATGATTCTCACCTCATTCTATCATCACACACATTAGCGATTGTTTGTCATTCATCAGCAGATCGATAATCATATGGACTGGTAATGTTGACGAGTATCATCACGTCTGGGCTCATTGCAATTTGGTATCGGAGCAGATCTTCCGATCTTGTGACAGGGACGACAAGGACAAGTGGTGGCATCTACATTGAAGAGGCTGACATGGAGAAGACAGCACACGTCAGATTATTGACGTGGCATTGACGTGGCCTTGGTACACATGTCCGATGCTGACGTGGCATCGACGTGGCATTGACGTGACCTTGGTACACATGTCCGATGCTGACATGACATTGACGTGGCATTTATGTGGCCTTGGTACACATGTCCGATGCTGACGCGGCATTGACGTGGCATTGTAACGCTGATGTGGCCGGTGGATGATAGCAGATTGATGATGTGGCATTGCTGACTCACCATTCGGTGAGATAGCAGGCTGACGTGGCAGTGTCATATTCCGCTACCTGGCTTACGTGGAATGTTGGTAGTGCTCCTGATGTGTATTCCCTCGATGATGCTGACTGGACCTTGGTGCTGACCTGGCAGACAGAAGTGCTGCTGAGTTGGCACTCCAGGGGATACACGTGGCAGGTTGGAACTTCGACTTTGTGGCAGGCTGGTACTTCGACTTCAGCGTACATTGCTGACGTGCACCCCATTGATGATATTGATTAGACCTGCTGACCTGGCATACTCATGAGTTGCTGAGTTGGCAGGTCAGGGGTGACACGTGGCAGGCACGACCGTGCCTAAGTGAGGACAGCATTCTGATGACTGAAGCGGCACGGCAAGAAGACGGACGTGGCTGTGGTGCCGAACGTCAGATTGGGTGCTGGTCACACAGGACAAAGAAGGACGAAACAGCAAGAAGGGGAAAACGCTAACTATTGATTGATTTTGTTGGCGGACTTACCTGTTGTCTGGCTGTGTTGTGGGCCTGTGTACTCACTTGTGTTTGTTGATGATCATGCTGGCCTGGAGTTGCGGTACCTGAGTTAGGATGTCATCACATTGAAAACAGAACAGCAAATAGAATTAGAAAACTTATGTTTCTTCTTATTATTATTCTTTTGACTTAGACAGAGTGTTGGGATAGGTGACCGTGAAATTATTGTCTCTTGCAGGAGAACAGCGTGCTGGTTTAAATAAGGAAGAACAGTGTGCTGATTCAGGAAACCGTGAATTGTTTATTTTGCGGTAGAACAATCTGGCCAACGGATTTTCGTGTTTCTGTTCCTTCAAGATGTCTTACTTCTGGAAATGTCTGCAACAGTGTATCTTGACGAGATTTGTGACCACTTTCTTGTTCCCTATTCCAATTGCACTTTCCGTTGGGGAAGGACCGTCTGAACTAAGGACAAGGGGACAGGCTGACAGAAAGAGAGAGGAACTGTTAGCCTTGTGGAGTCAGTTTCTGATGGAGGTACAGCTGTTTGGACCAGAAGCCGAGCAACACATCCGTGATAATTTCGATCTTCAGGGGGTTGAAGACCGCCTGAAGAAGTCTATCACGGCTGTGGTGGTTGTGGCAGCCAGTACAGATGCCTCCAAATTGATTGCACAGGGGCGACAGGCTCTAGACCAGTTTGCTTTGAAGCAACTGGAAGAGATTATGGATGCTACTCGTAAAGGGGAGGCGAAACCAGAAGTAAGTGAGGAAACGATTGATGCTAACATCCAGCAGCTCAGAGATACTCTGGCTGCCGAAGAAAGAAAGAAAGAGGAATTAGCCCGAAGAAGAGAACAGGAACAGCGAAGAGGTCAAAAGGTTAGAGAGATCAGACAAGTGATAGGAACAGAAATAAGTGAACAGACTGACATGTCACAAACGTTGGCTCACATTGTGACATATCTTACAGATGCAGGGAGAAGAAGAACAAGAAGAGAAGAAGGAGAAGAAAGAAGTAAAGAAGTTGATGGGGGACGCAATAAAGTCTGCTGGTCCCGTGATAAAGACAACGATTAATGGAAATGGATCAAGTCAACCATCTACTCCTCACTCTTCTCATTCTTCTAAGTCTACTCCTAAAGGAACTCTACAAAAGATAAGCGCGAAACCCAAAAAACCAAGGAAGAAAGAAAAGGTGAAGATGAAGTTGCCGTTTACGTTTTGCAACAAGAAAGAAGAAAGTCTGTTGCTGTGGATTGCAGAAATTCAAACGTATGTGAGTACCGCCCCGGTCGAGCCGGAGTCCCAAGTCGCGTTCACCACTTCTTGCATGGGTGGTGAGGCCAAGCAATGGGTGTTGGCCGAGGCCAATGCTGCGGGTTTCGAAGACATCGGTGAGTGGGCAAAGACTCTGACACTGAAACAGTTCTTGGCGAAAACCAGGGACCGTTTTCTCGACAAGACGACGACCGACAAGGCCTTTGACCAGTTGACGTCAATTGGTCAAAAGCATTGGACGTCAGTTGAGGCTTTGTCCCGCGAAGTTGACCGATTGTTGCAGGTTCCCGGGTTGAACTTGCAGGACAGCCAAGTGTTGTACATCTATTCCCGCGCGTTGCCTGAGCCCATCCGGGGACACTTAGTCACTGAAGCGAAATCCGGTAAGTATAACTACAAGCAATTTCGTGACCTTGCCCTGCAGAGGGAACAGATGACTTCTCAAGTCAAAAGTTCCTATGCAGCGATAGTTAAATCTGGAGGAGGAGGAGGTAGACAATACAATGGGAAACGAGTTCTCTGGCGACAGAAGCGCCAAGACCACACCCTTGTCGTCTTTGACGACGACATAGTGGAAAAGTGGCCGAACGAGGAGAATGATAACAACAGTGACTCCGGGAAGGGGGAAGTCACTGGTGTTGTGGCCAATAAGGGAGGGCCACCCAGAACAGGAGGGAAGAAACAACGAGCGTTTCCATGGCACCTGGGCATTGCCGATGGGAAGCCATGGGTCGAAATGGGTATGACTAGAAAGACTTGGCAGGAGCGCATGGACAATGCGCAATGTCTCAAGTGTGGCACACCGGGACATGTGATTGCCTACTGCCCTCAGATTCGGAACCCAAAAGCGAACAGCCAGTAGGAGTAGCATCTGCTCCTACTGAGATTAAGGGTAAGAACAAACAGACAGGTAAGGCGCCTACGACCCCTTCCTACCCTTCTTCTCAATTGGCAGAGGATGATTCTTCCTTAGCCCATCATCTAGATCGCCCTGACATTGTCTTATGTTCTGTCTCTCTGGATCACTCCCTTGATGAGCTAGGAAACGAATTGCTAGCATTACGTGGCTCATGGGCTCGAAAGGCGAAGACTAAGGGCGAGTTGTTGTTTGCAGATGTTGAGATCGCACGAACACGAGTTGGTGCGATGTTGGACCCAGGATCAACGAGGTCCTACATCTCCGAGAACGCAATCCGTAAGTTGCATCTCGGCATGAAGGTAAAAGACTTGTCTCGACCTATAACGTCTATGTTAGCAGACAAGAGTACGATCATTGTCTCTCAGTATGTTGATCGTATTAAGTGTCTGTTTCGAACGAGGGAAGGAAAAAAGATTGTGCATGAATCATCCTTCCTCATAGAAAATAATTTACCTTTTGATATCATTCTGGGTATGAACTGGCACAAAGAAGCCAACCCGGACATTGATTTCAAAAACAAGATTGTGCAACTCAAAGATGCGCAATCAGAACTGAAACCAATTAAACTATATCATAAGTCTGGCTCTGACTCAAGTCTATCCTTTTGTTGTATGAGTTATCCAGCTTTTCGTTCAATGGTTTCTAAGAAAAAGTTGGAACAGGAAGTTATGTTGGTGCTCGTAAAGAAAGTCGGTGAGTCTTTTTCTTCCTGTCCTCCGACGATTGAAAGTCTTCTTTCTGAATATAAGGATCTGCAGAAAGAACCCACCGGAATAACTGAACGTGCTATAAAGCACACCATTGAGATTATTCCGGGTAGTAAAATTCCCAAGGGCCCTATCTATCGAATGTTTTTCAGGGAACTTGAGGAGTTAAAGAAACAACTGCAGGACCTTACTGACTAGGGATGGATTCRCCCTAGTTCATCTCCTTATGGAGCACCTGTCTTGTTTGTGCCCAAAAAGGAAGGTGAATTGCGTCTTTGTATTGACTATCGAGGGTTGAATGCCGTCACTGTCAAGAATGCCGAACCACTCCCTCGCATCGACGATTTACTTGACCAACTACAGGGATGCAAGTACTTCAGTAAAATTGATCTGAAGTCTGGGTACCATCAGATCGAGGTGGAGCCCGCGGATCAACACAAGACTGCTTTCCAGGTATGGCCATTACGAGTTTATGGTAATGCCCTTTGGATTGACTAATGCTCCTGCTACATTTCAACGGTCAATGAACGAGTTATTTCGTCAATGGTTGGATCAGTTCGTCATCGTCTATTTGGATGACATTCTCGTGTATAGAAAAACTTTAAAAGAACACGAGATGCATCTTCGTCTGGTTTTGAGTAAGTTGCGAGAAGGCAACTTCAAAATCAACCCGAAGAAGTCTGAGTTCGCTAAGCCCGAAGTTTTATACTTGGGACATATAGTGAACCAAGATGGCCTCAGGCCTAAAGAAAAGAAAATATTGGCAATTAGAGACTGGCCGCAATCTAAGTCTGTAACTGAGTTACGATCATTTCTTGGCTTGGCAAGCTATTATAGGAAGTAGGTCAGGAACTTCTCATTGCTCGCTGCACCAATGAGAAGATTGTTAAAGAAGGGAACAATATGGTTGTGGGACAAGGATTGTGAGTCCTCATTTAAAAAGGTAAAGTACACTCTGACTCACTACCCTGTTCTGAAAATTGTTGATCCATCTCTTCCCTTTGTGGTCACCACTGATGCAAGTCAGCATGGGATTGGCGCAGTGCTTCAACAAAACGACGGCAATGGTTACATACCGATTGAGTTTATGTCTGAACGATTGCCATCTGAAAAGGTTGCCAATTCTACCTATGAAAGGGAATTGTATGCGTTAGTCTGTGCCTTAGACACCTGGAAACACTATCTATTAGGGAGACACTTCACTGTGTATTCAGACCACTTTACCCTGAAGTGGATAAAGACACAACCTAGGCTCTCTGATAAGCTAGTACGATGGTCTGCATTCATTGACACTTTTGATTTTGAGTTGAACACTATCAAAGGCAAGTCTAACGTGGTTGCAGATGCATTGTCTAGAAGATGTGATTTCTTTGGTGCCATTGTCTCTTACCTAGACGTTGGGAATGATCTGAAAGATACAATTCGCCAAGGATATGTTAATGACCCAATATGGAAACCTATCATGGATGTCCTTGCGAAAGACCCAAGTCTGCTTCCCAACTATAAGATAACTGATGGTTTGTTTTTCTTGCTAGACCAAACTGAACAACGATTGTGTATTCCTCACCAGGAAGAAATCAAAAGTCTGATTATTGGGGAATGTCACGACGCCGAAGGTCATTTTGGTTTCAAGAAAACTTACGCTGAAGTTAGAGAACGCTTTGAATGGAAGGGATTGAAAGAGGATGTACTAACTTATGTTCGTACTTGTCTTGTGTGTCAGAGAAACAAACCCTTACATGAGAATCCACTTGGTCTTCTCAGACCGTTACCAATTCCAAGCGAGCCAGGTGAGTCAATTTCTATGGATTTTATGAGCCTCACCAAAAGTCGGAATGGCAATAGCCAGGTAATGGTAATTGTGGATCGTTTCTCTAAATATGTTATGTTCATTCCCTTACCCGAAAAAGCCAGAATGGAACTTGTGATCCAAAAGTTTCAGATGCGATGAGTGACTGAATATGGTTTCCCTTTTTCCATCGTATCTGATAGAGATACCCGGTTCACAAGTATGCCATGGCAAAAGCTGATGGAGGCATACGGTACACGTCTGACCATGTCGTCAGGTAGACACCCTGAAACGAATGGGCAGAGTGAACAAATGAACCGTTTGTGCCAACAGCTTCTGCGCATGTATGTAAGACCCGATCAAATAGATTGGGATGAGAACTTACCTAAGATAGCAAGTGCATATAATAGTAGTGTTCATACCTCTACAGGACGAACACCTAACGCACAGCATAAAGAGTGGAAACCTAAGCGTCCCATTGATGTATTGACGAGGGACCAGTTTCTTAGGTTACCTCCAGGGACCCGCGAATACGCAGTATTGTTTCAAGAAGACATTAAAAAGGTAAAGGAGAACTT